CTGTTTATAAAACCAAGGCTATCAATAGCTCGACAATTCCAAGGAATTTTCGACTGATTCCTCCTCATGCAAAAGATACATTATAACACCATAGCGCAAACAGTTGTGCTCTGCCAATTACTAGTGCCTTGGCTGCATAAGGTTTTGTACAACTAAAACCAGAAAAGAGCTTAGCTTGTTGCAGTCACGGTCTTAATTTTGTAGGGAGGGTCTTTTGTTTCTGCTTCTCGTGGGATTTGAATGATAACGCAACGAAGAATTATTTAACGATGAACATTCAAATAAGTATTTATACAAACCTGCTGGGTACGGTTCAGCACTTTGCATGGTGATCAAGGATTCACAGTTTCTGATGGACTAGTACCATATGCATGAGACTGCTCCGCTACGTAAGGTACTTGATGAGATAAGATGAGAAACTCTACGTAAGTGTCAAGTCTAATAGTACTCAATTGCGAAACCACTAATTGCGGCCACACTGAGATAATCACCTAAATTCCTAAGATTATGAATACTCCACACAAAGATTAGCAATTCAATTTCTCCAGGTGTAATTTTATTTGCTCAAGTAGTTGTCTTCCACGAAATACTTAGCCCTACAGAGAGGCTATTTTTCTGATAGACTTTCTTATAGAGGGTAGGAAAGAGAAAGTTTCTTATCAACGAACGTTCTAGGTATCTTGTACGTGATTTCACAAATTAGCCAATCACGTTAACGAACTCTTACCTTGAAATTGGAAAACTGATGTGTACATTTTTCGCGTACTTTTAATTTGTGTTCGTGGAGTTTTAGTTTGTTGTTTTTGAACTTTCGTTCGCGTAAATATGTTACCTCTTTGTTTGGAATTTTAAGAAATTTCGGAGTTTTTATTTCAGCCAAATGTTGTGGTTCATTTAACAAGTTTAATACATATTTTCTACGGAGTTCAGACTCTAGCCTCTTTTTCCGTAAACGGAGTTTTTACATATCTCATGCCTGGGCGTTAAGAGGAACTATAATGCAAATTACAAACCTGTTGGGTATGGTGATAACTGTTGAACTTGCATCGGGCCAGATCCAATGTAGTTATGAGGAAACGGATTCTGTTCCGCAGGTATCCAAAATCCATGTTCCATGTCAGGCACGTTGTTTTTTTCCCATGTGTTTGGTCCAACGTTCATCGTTAACGGAGTTTGCCAGGTGTTGGAAGAAGAGGGCAGTGGAAAGGGTGCTACTCCTGGCATAGGCCCCATAGGATTAACAGCACTTGGATTCTGTACTGCAGAAATGCCCATCGGTGGGGGAGTTGGCCAATTGTTGGGAAGAAAAGGCCTTGGCCATGGTGCTACTCCTGGAAACGGCCCCACAGGGTTACTAGGATGTCGATTCTGTCTCGTAACGACATTGTTTCCTTGGTCTGTGTAAGCCATGTTCGTGTTTTGCCATGCGTTGGGCACAATGTTAATTGGTGGGTGAATTGGACGAGAGTGAGAGGCAGGAAACCGTACCCTTGGTGTTTCCATCCTGCAGTGTCTCCCTATAAAAGAGAATACAATATCTCTATTTATTACATAATGGCAACGTATCACGTATGCGTCGCTCTTCTTTGTATTTAGCTGCTTTCCATCTCCTTGCGTTGAATCGTGTTCTAATGACTTTTGTTGAGGGGTATGCATAGACATGTGCTGTATTGCCATACCCTCGTATTCCGCTGTGCTATAACTGTAGTAAATTACGACCTGATGCAGCACTGTCCTTGGTAGCTTTGTTGACTTTCTGGCGTTGTTTTTAAAAGATTTCACCGTGCCTGGTCGAGACTTATTTGTTCTGTTGCATTCAATATACGCAGTCCACTACACTGCGTTTTGGCCTAGTAGCTCTGTGTTGGGTTGAATGAGCAAGTTGCATTAAGCTGCATTAACCACAGTAAAACCTTATATTGTAATGAAGCGAGAAAAGCCAAGTAATAACAGTTTCATTGCATTAATTAGCACGCCGCTGAGTTAGGTTGAATACTGACAGCTGCGTTGTGTCCCTCCCATCTAAGCTGGGTAGTGTTTTCTTCCATTCCTCTGCATCGTACTGCGCTTGACATTTCTCCGTTGCGTTGGATCACCAAGTTTCATTACACTGCATCTTACTCTAGACTTTTTATTTCATTCTATGGATACTTAGGAAGCCATATACACAATAAGAATCACTAAAACGTTAGTGCGTATGATCTTAAGCTGCTTTACTTAGTCTGTGCTCTTTCTTCGTCTGTGCCACTCACCTGGTGGACTGGGACGAATCCTTGGCAGGAGATAGCTTGGTTTGGGATGGCTCCATGGAGGTGCCTCCACTCCAAGCATCTGTGGAGGACCGCATGAACGCATCCGCCGCCGCTCTTGGGCTGTTGGCTTGTCGTAACTTCTACCCATCGATGCCTTTGTCTTGGGTTGCACCTCTTTATTCGGATAAACATTCTGTAGATAAATATATAATGCCACGGGAAGCTTGTTAGGGTATTTTTCTACGTCAATCACATCTAGAATTTAAATTTTTAAACGGGATTTTGAAGCTTCTTAATGAAGACTGCTTTAATATCAATTGCGATTTGAAAAGATTTTAAGCTCTGAGTAGAGATAGTGGAAGATAACGATATTCGTTTTCTTTAATTAGTTAAAGTAATGATCTGCTCCAAGAAAAGAGAAGG